CATTAGGTCAACTAAACATGGGCATAGCAACAATATTTTTATACTACATTTATCCATTTTAAATATACTAACCTGACTCATTTGTAACAACTAAGGCAAAAATGTAATTAATTCAGAAAATCTTTTCAGGACCCCACCTTGATGTTTCGGGACCCCACTTTGGGTCCCGACCCCAACTTTGGGAAACACTGCACTAGAACACATCAAACCCAAGGACTGCAGGCCAAATGTGGCCCGCCACTGCATTTTATTTGGCCCACGAGAACTTTAAAGCTGTATTAGTGTGTAAAAATAAGCTGCTTTAAAACCAGCACTGACCATAAACTACATCTCCCATAATGCATTTGATTATTTTACCCATGAAATGACCACATCCCACCACTAGGTGGCGATGCACATATTTCAAAATTAGCCAACAAAATTAACTGCTTAAAATTGTCGTTTAGCTGCATTTTCGCTGACTGCTTTTGCTGTGGCCCAGTTGTACTAGGAAATGGGAATTTCCCCACTTACAAGTTGAATATTTAAACTGGAATTCAATTCGATTCAATTCAAAAATACTTTATTGATCCCAGAGGGAAATTTGGTTACATCCAAATATTATAAAAATATTATTATATAAATATATTATATATATTAAAATATTACATCTCAACAGTGATTAAAACTCTCATAAGGTGTGTTCCAGTCGTCCTCGGAGGTCGTAGTTTCGTAATTTTCAACTGGAACACCCCCTGATATCGTAACTTCAAGTCGAGAGGTCGGCGCAACACGACCATACCTGAGCATGCATTATGTCATCATTTCAATATGGCTGCTCCTCGCGTAAACATATTGTTAAAATATTTAGTTTTACATTTTTTAGCTTGTTTACTTTACATTGAGTCAGTCGTACTTGTGGTTCTTTATAGCGTTTATTAGGAGATATGTTTTAACACTGTACAGTTAAAATCCCTCGTAGAGCACCATTGTTGTAAATGTTCTTGTTGCAGAGCAAAAAAATATAAATGCTTTTTACAATGGTCCGACAAGTTTGAAACTGGAAGTGACGTCAGTCCAGCTTCAGAATTTCGAGTTCTGCTACAACTGGAATGCAGTATTACTTTTACTTTTCATAGTGTTTCTGTATTTATTTCACATTTAGATGTAGTAATTTTCAGTGTTTACAAGAGGACGTGTTAACCCTGTTTCTATGCAGGAAATACCAAGCAGAGCTCAGTTAGTGTTTGTTAGCGGTGCTCGGTCGAAGCAATGAGACAAAGAACTTGATGTTTCACGGTTAGTTGAAGTTAAACACATTGAAGTTACAACCATGATACTCGTGGTCCTCATTGATGAGTTTGAGCACTAGAGGGTAAAAGTGACATTTGTTAAGGACTGTAAATCCTTTAAGTGATCAAACTGCAGATCTGTGATTTATGTTGCAAGAACTAAATTTGACCAGTTACAAAGCAATGCAACATTCCCACCCTACATCCATTTTCTGGTGTCCATGTCCAGCTGTAGGTGTGTGAGGAACAGGAGACACAATGGACAGGTCGCAAGTCCATAAACAAGGACACATGAAGACAACCAACCATTCAACATAAAGACAATTTAGAGTTAGCAATTAGCCTAACATCCAAGGTTTCAGGTCTTTCTGAAGCTCCACTCCTCTAATCTTGAATGATCATTTCTAGTTTTAAAAGACAAAGTTGGTGGAGATCAAATGTCTAACTTTTTGAGAGTTAAAAACTCTTATCGAGGCAGAGAGCCACTATTTGTGCTTTAGAAACTAAAATGGGGCCATTGTGAGTTTTCTTTGCGATTAGACTTTAGTGCAGTACTGACAAAATACGCTGAAAGAAATCTGTAAAATGGGAAAGACAAGACAAAAAAATAAACTTGATTATTTTGAAAGAAATGTTGAGCCAAGCTAAAAAGGTGTTTTTATTACCAATATTCTGGTCACCTACAGGTGTTACATTGAGTTTTCAGCTGCATTTGTTTGAATTCATTCGTCCTTTTTGAAGATCTTTCCCATAAAACACAACAAATATAGA